TATTTGTAGTAGAGACAGGGTTTCACCATGTTGGCCAGGCTGGTCTTGAACTCCTGACCTCAAATTATCTGTCCACCTTGGCCTCCCAAAGTGCTGGGATTACAGCCATGAGCTACCGCCCTGGCCTTGACTTTTATCAAAAAGAGATGTGGGAGGCTAGGGAGTGCTTACTAAGACCATACAGAATTTCTGAGCAACTCACAGTGCAAAACTAAAGGCTTGTTTTGGTCCATGTACTGGATTGGCAGTTTCCTCCAGAGCCTCACAGTCCCAAAGATTCCACTAGTCCACCCATCTAGTATAAATTCTATTTATCAGTCACTGCCAGTCCAGAATTGATACTCACAGCTGCTTATCTTAGGAGACCTGGCCAATGTGCTCCTCCTGCATGTCTTTCCAGAGTCTTGTACCAGAAACACTCCTTGGGCCTTGCTACAAGTAGAAGCTGCAGCTGCCTTCCAACACACCTTCCGTGTGAGCACCAGGGCTACAGGAGCTGGCTCCCTCAGAGCACTTTTCACTTCAGAGGCCCCTTCCTCTATTTTTTGTGTTTTCCTCACTAGATATGACAAGGACTACACCAGAGTTCACTATTTTAGTCACCTTACATTTTCCTTCTTTTTTTTTTTTTGAGATGGAATCTTGCTGTCACCCAGGCCGAAGTGCGGTGGCATGATCTCGAACCACTGTAACCTCCACCTCCCAGGTTTAAGCAATTCTTGTGCCTCAGCCTCCTGAGTAGCTGGGACTACAGGCACGCCCCAGCATACCCAGCTAATTTTTGTATTTTAGTAGAGACAGGGGTTTGTCATGTTTGCCAGGCTGGTCTCAAACTCCTGACCTCAAGTGATCCACCCACCTCAGCCTCCCAAAGTGCTAGGATTACAGGTGTGAGCCACCATGCCCAGCCTACCTTACATTTTCAAACCACCTCTACACTTCGGCTCAGGCAAAAGCTTCTCCTTCCCAGGCTCCCCTTCCTGGACCATTTTTGGTCTGGAGAAGTCCACTCATCCTCTGAGGCTTACTGCTCCTTAGGTGTCCGCTTGGCCTCCGGGCCCACCCTCTGTGAGGCTGCCCCACCACTCCTAGCTCCTCAGCCCGTCGATATCCTTGCATACCAGTCACAGCACCGGCTGCACCACACCGTCAGGGCTTAGCCTCTCCTGCCCAGCCTGTGAGCCCTTCACAGCAGGGACCCAGGCTTTTCATCTTTCTCCTCCCTCTGAAGCTCTCACCATACCTCCTGGGGAATGACTCCCACCCCCACCAGGCTGGTCTTAGGATACCAAAGCCAGCCATAACACCCTTAAAGCTGACACCTCCTACTGCCCCCACTACCTCCCCAGCCAGGACTTGGCTCTGACTGGGATTACAGGTGCATGCCACCATACCCAGCTTTTTTTTTTTTTTTTTGAGACGGAGTCTCTGTCACCAGGCTGGAGTGCAGTGGTGTAATCTCAGCTCACTGCAACCTCCACCTCCCAGGTTCAAGCGAGTCCCCAGCCTCAGCCTCCCAAGTAGCTGGGATTACAGGCATGCACCACCACGCCTGGCTAACTTTTTTGTATTTTAGTAGAGACGGGGTTCACCATGTTGGCCAGGATGGTCTCGATCTCCTGACCTCATGATCTGCCCACCTTGGCTTCCGAAAGTGCTGGGATTACAGGTATGAGCCACTGCACCTGGCCTTGACTTGTATTAAAAGGAGACTTGGCAGATGGTCGAGGAAGGGCAGTTGGCCCTGACTCCACCGGGTCATTGGCCACACGGGCTCCTAGGCCAGGTGGTCAGTGTTCAACCCAAAGCCTACTACTGACCATCCTCACACCCTTTGTGAGTCCCCAGAACTCTAACCTTGGCTCGGCTCCCTTCTGAACCTCTCTGCTACCCAGCACGGTGGTCCTGCTTAGACTCACCCTCTCTTGCCTTGCCCAGCTGCCTCCCTGGGCTCCCTGCCTCTTTACTCACGCCCTTCTCTC